CCGGAACGTCCGCTGGACGTCCTTCGGACGTGCGCTGCATGCAGCAGACATCGAAGATATCCGATGGACGTCCAGAGGACATTGCTCCGATTCCGCGGTCTACCCAGATATCCACGGTACGTCTTGAGGGCGTGTGAGAGTACGACATTTGCGACCCCTGCCTGATGTGTCCGCCGGATGTCCATCGGATGTGCGCTGCACATAGCTAGAGTAAGAGACATCCAATTGACGGAACATGGACATTCATAATAATTCAGTATTTTGCGGACATCCGGATGACGTTTACCGGAAGTTTAAATTTTTTGGGGTTTTCATTTCTTCAAGAACGTCCGCTGGACGTCCTTCGGATGTGTGCGGCATACAGCAGAAATCGATGACATCCAAAAGACGTCCGACGGACATGTCACCGATCATTAGTTCTGCCGAGATATCAACGGTATGTCTTGAGGGCGTGTGAGATTACGGGATTTGCGACCCCTACCTAATGTGTCCACCGGATGTCAATGGGATGTGCGCTGTATGTCGCGGGAGAAAGAGACAGCCGATGGACGTCTTACGGACATTCATACGATTTCGGTATTTAGCGGATATCCGAAGGACGTCTACCGGACGTTTAAATTTTTTGAAGTCTTCGTTTTTTCGAGACCGTCCGCTGTACGTCTTTTGGATGTGCGATACACACAGCAGAAATAGCAGACATCGAATGGACGTCCCAAGGACATTGCTCCGACTCTTCGGACTATCGAGATATCCAAGGTCCGTCTCGCGGGCGTGTGGGATTACGGAATTTGCGGCCTCTCTGTGATGAGTCCGTCGAATGTCCATCGGATGTGCGCTGCACATCGGGGGAGTGAAATCACATCCATTTGACGTCCCAAGGACAATCGTAATAATTTAGTATTTTGCGGACATCCAGAGGACGTCTACCGGACGTTTAAATTTTTTGGAGTCTTCGTTTTTTCGAGAACGTCCGCTGAACGTCCTTTGGATGTGCGCTGCATACAGCGGAAATCGATGACATCGAATGGACATCTCACGGATATTGGTCCAATTCCTAGGTCTACCGAGATATCCACGGTACGTCTCGCGGGCGTGTGGGATTACGGGATTTGCGACCCCTGCCAAATGTTTCCGCCGGATGTCCATGGGATGTGCGCTGCACATCGCGGGATTAAGAGACATCCGATAGACGTCTTACGGACATTCATACGATTTCGGTATTTAGCGGATATCCGAAGGACGTCTACGGGACGTTTAAATTTTTTGGAGTCTTCGTTCTTCCGAGAACGTCCGCTGAACGTCCTTTGGACGTGCGATACACACACCAGGAATAGAAGACATCCCATGGACGTCCCAAGGACATTGCTCCGATTCTTCGGGCTATCGAGATATCCACGGTCCGTCTCGCGGGCGTGTGGGATTACGGAATTTGCGACCCCTCTGTAATGTGTCCGTCGGATGTGCGCTGCACATCGCGGGAGTGAAAGGCATTCAATTGACGTCCCACGGACAATCATAATAATCTAGTATTTTGTGGACATCCAGAGGACGTCTACCGGACGTTTAAATTTTTTGGAGTCTTCGTTTTTTCGAGAACGCCCGCTGTACGTCCTTTGGATGTGCGCTGCATACAGCGGAAATCGATGACATCGAATGGACGTCCCACGGACATTGGTCCGATTCCTAGGTCTACCGAGATATCCACGGTACGTCTTGACGGCGTGTGAGATAACGGGATATGCGACCCCTGCCTAATGTGTCCGCCGGATGTCCATGGGATGTGCACTGCACATCGCGGGAGTAAGAGACATCCGATAGACGTCTTAAGGACATTCATACGATGTCGGTATTTTGCGGACATCCAGAGGACGTCTACCGGACGTTTAAATTTTTTTTAGTTTTTTCTTCGAGAACGTCCGTTGGACGTCCTTCGGATGTGCGCTGCATACAGCAGAAATCGATAACATCCAATAGACGTCCCACGGACATTTCCCCAATTCTTAGGTCTACCGAGATATCCACGGTCCGTCTCGCGGGCTTGTGGGATTACGGGAGTGGCGATCCCTTCTTGATGTGTCCGTCGGATGTCAATCGGATATGCTCTGCACATAGCGGGAGTAAGAGACATCCAATTGACGGAACACGGACATTCATAATAATTCAGTATTTTGCGGACATCCGGAGGACGTCTACAGGACGTTTAAATTTTTTCGAGTTTTCATTTCTTCCAGAACGTCCGCTGGACGTCCTTCGGATGTGTGCTGCTTACAGCAGAAATCGATGACATCCAATGGACGTCCCACGGACATTTCCTCAATTCTTAGGTCTATCGAGATATCCACGGTACGTGTTGAGGGCGTGTGAGATTACGGGATTTGCTGCCCCTGCCTAATTTATCCGTCGGATGTCTGCGGTGCACATCGCAGGAGTAAGAGACATCCAATAGGCGTCTCACGGACATTCATAATAATTCAGTATTTTGAGGACATCCAGAGGACGTCTACCGGACGTTTAAATTGTTTCGAGTTTTCTCTTTTTCGAGAACGTCCGCTGGACGTCCTTTGGATGTGCGCTACGTACAGCAGGAATCTAAGACATCCAATTGACGTCCCAAGGACATTGCTCCGATATCTCGGTCTATCGAGATATCCACGATACGTCTTGAGAGCGTGTGAGATTAGGGATTTGCGACCCCTGCCTGATGTGTCCGTCGGATGTCCATCGGATATGCGCTTCTCATCGCGGGAGTAAGAGACATCCAATAGGCGTCCCACGGACATTCATACTATTTCGGTATTTAGCGGATATCCGAAGAACGTCTACCGGACGTTTAAATTTTCTGCATTTCCCAGTTTTTTTTGTAACGTCCGCCGGACGTCTTCCAGATGTGCGCTGCAAAGAGCAGAAACAGGAGACATCCAATAGATATCCCGCGGACTTAGCCCTAATTTATAGGGATTTTTGACACATCACAGTACACCTTCAGGACGTGTGAGAGTATCGGATTCGCGACTCCTTTTCCAAAGGGTCCGCAGAATGGCCATTGGATGATCGCTACGCGGATCGGATATCGCGGAGATGAGAGACAAAGGATGGACGTTTCACGGCTATTCATTATGATTCGGTATTTTGCGGAAATAGCAGGGACGTCTACGTGACGTGTTAAAGGGGTGTATTTCCCCAAAAACATGGCAACGTAGAAAAAAGTGAAACAAATACTTTTATGTATTTTTTTATGCTTAAAAAAAAAAAAAAAAAAAAAAAAAAAAAAACTAGCGGTCAAACTTGATCACCTTAAATTTCATTTTTTTTTAACTTTTCCCGAAATTTGGGGACTTGTCAACGGAATATTGAACTGATTTTGACCCTACTGAAATAGTGTGGAGGCAAATCGAGGGGAAATTGGCTTATTTCGTAGGAAAATTGAATGACCTATGAATTGACGTATTTGGGGGTCCGAGCCCCCTCCCTTAAAATTAGTTTGAAGCGATTTCTGCAATTTTTCCTCAAAAGCGAACACAATTTGGTAAATTTTCCCGTTTTACTTATTTATTTACGATAATTTGAACTGGAGTTATGATTCTTTGAAAATAGGTCAAATTTGACCTTTGACCTATCATAACTCGGTCAAAAAGTAAGATGTTGATCTACGGTTTGCGCGAAAATTCTTAGTTTTTTATGCTCTTTCGAAAGAGGTATCACAAGATAAGTAGGGGTTGACATTTGGAAAAAAAGTCGGGGGCCCCCCGCCCCCTGTGTGGGGACCAAGATTTGGACCCCCCCCCCCCCAAG